ATTCAGTTACAGGGAGCACTGAGCCCAGCACTGGCTGCCCCAACCTCCAGTCACATGCCCTTGAAGCAACATAATCCATCAGTCCTCCTACATACGTTAAGAGCACACCATTCCCTCTCATTTCTCAAGCTTAGGGCTATTTTAAATGATATACATTACATTAAGTGATACGTAATACATTTAATTCATATACACCATATATTTCATAGCAATGTATTAGATGTTATAATTTATTCTACATAACTGTACTGATGGGACCAGAGCTCAATGGTAGGACACTTGCCTAGCAGACATAAGGCCCTGGGTTTGATTCTCACTAACTAAAAAAATGGTAATACTACATATTATCATTCCTATAAACCATTATATAAAGTTCATTAGTTTATATAATTTAAACATGCAGTAACTTTTACATTTTAATTTACATTTCTAAATTTCAACCCAAAATCAAAGAACTGTAAAATTAAAATTACACGTAACTATAACTGGTCAGCAACATTAGCCAAAACTCAAGTTTTAGCTATAAATACTATATATTTAAACATACCATCTACTTTCCCTTCAAAACGCATACTGATTATTTTCTATAGCAACTACAAAAAGTCCTTTCAATCCCTAAAGCAGCCTCAAAGCACTGCCCTTCAAACAGAAACAGCTGGCTCAGGAAAGAGGCCAGCCACCTCGCTTACCCTCTCTGGGAGGTCAAAGTTTTGGCCATTGGGGTATATGAGGACTATAGTATACCATAAACTATCTGGCTCATTCATAGAACCACAGCCACAGACTCGTTTCTTATAGTTCATTCTTATCACCTGGGCCTAAACTTAACATGGAGCTCCTTCTCCACATGGGGCTGAGGATGAGGGTCTGAAGTTCTTACCAGCATCTGTATAGGTCCTAGTAGGTGTGTGTAAGACAATGGTCCTCAACCTTCCTAACATTGCTACCCTTTAATACAGTTCCTCATGTTGTGGTGACCCCAACCATAAATTTATTTTTGTAGCTACTTCATAATTGTACTTTGATATTATTATGAATCATAATGTAAATGTCTACATTTTCTGATGGTCTTAGACGACCCCTGTGAAAGGGTCACTTAACCCATGGGTTGAGAGTTGCTAGTGTAAAGTATTGGGTTTTCTCTCCCTATGCTTTTGGGGACACAGAAGTAGAATATGTCTCTCAACCCAGCAGTAAGTATTTGTTACCTTTTGTTGGTTTTGTGGTTTCTCTGATGCCTCCATATTTGCTCATTAATGCTATTCTAACACCAACCACACATTTCTCAGTGTAGCTGATGGTCTCATGGAGTCAAGCACAGGTACATGCCATCCAAAGAACTGA